TTATTATTATTATTATTATTACATGTAATTGAGAGTTGTTGTCTCCCCTCTGCTCATCTCAGCTTTTTGTTTTTCTTGCTCCGCCTTAGTAGATCTAGTCTCATTTTACTTTATCCTAATCCTAAACGTAAACATGTGTCTTTTTTTTATTTTGAACAGTCCTTGCTAGGAGGAAGAATTAATATTATGTATACTTGCGTACTTTTGCGAATGTTTCAGCAACCGTTTTACGGCGCTTGCTCCAAAATAAAGTCATAACTGCCGATGATTAGAGGTGTTACAAAAGAATTATAAACACTAAAAAGGAGACTAGATCAGTATAATAGATATGTTTTATTGAAAAAAGGAACATACCACACCAGACCACCCGCCAACCACCCGATTTTTTGTGTGCAAGAAATCGCAAGGACAACTTGGGACGTTTCCATAATCTCTTCACAAATGATATGTTCGATTTTGTTTAATTCCTAACAGCCCTTTCTTGCACCCCATGACCCTACAAACAATATAGCTGCAAACACCATGAGATGTAACTTTGAACTATTTTTCAACGACCCTACATTAATTTTGTTGCATGTCCAACTTGTCTCAAAATTTAAAGATTGTCTGTTCAAAGGTTAACACGACAGTATCAGAGCAACGACTGAATCACTGGGTAGTATAATGCTGACTCCCTAGATCTAGACCCTTATCTAGATTCTATAATCTTTTCAAAACTGACGAAGTCAGCTGTGAAGACAGCATCACCACAGTACATGATTAGATCTCTATCATTGTGAAGTGTGAGTTGATTCATCACACTTGATGAGAGCTAATCTACTCAGACACAGAGACAACATTTCGAGAAATAAGGCACTGAGATTCAGGTTATTTGTACACAGAATAAAGACCAACAATAAGCATATTTTCTATTAGGAGAAATGCTTATAAAATTTTGTGTTTTTACTGTTTGTTGTGACTTTAAATGGGCGTGGCCAAGAAGGCAGTTTCGAGCCAAAATGGCAATTATGTCAATATTGATTTCGGACAGATCAAAGAGATTTCATTTCACTTACCTTTCTGTCAACGAAGGCACAGGCGAGGTCATTTAATACTGGCATAGATAATTCTGGTTCAACATAAATTGTTTCCCTCATTAGACCAATCTGCATGAAGAATGAAATCCGCCCGCGGCCACTATAACTGATCTCAGGCTCCATTTTGCGGTTGACTTGGCCTGAAGGCTGAGTGCTGCCAAACGCGACACTTGACAGCCTCAGGAATTGAATTACACCTTGAGTCCAGAAGTCAAAATGTGTTTGTCAATCCGTTGAGGCAAAAATAAACCCAATAAACGGAGCATACAACTCAATAATTCACAATATCCAATGAATAATATCCTAAGTCGATCATTTTTCAACACAAGTCGACTTCCCTCGTTTCCACCTTTGCAACACTTCCGAGCCCTCGCTCGAGTGAGTGGGTCGACGAGCTTCAGGAAAACCAGGCCAATGTTGTACGTTTTAACTTCTATACGATTTACGAATCTGTACCATTCCTGAACTGTACTTATCGCTGTTCTGTGGTTTGGTTCAAAGGCCTGGGCCCTGTAGCTGTACATTGACCTACATGCCATTGTATTTCCTTACCCCATAGTCTCCCCCCCCC